AGATGGCTCAGTGGTTAAGAGCGCTGACTGCTCTTGCAGAGGACTCAGGTTCGAATCCCAGCACCCACATGGCAGCTAACAACCATCCATAACTCCAGTTCCAGGGGATCTGATGCACCCTTCTGACATCCAAGGGCACTGCACGACACAGGTGCACTTACCTACATGCAGGCAATTTCACGCATAAACATAAAATAACAAAAAAAAAATTTTTTTTAATAAAATAGAAAACCAAGAAAATTTACAATTTTATCCCAACCCTCATCTAGCCTCTTTGCCAATCTTATTTACCATACATTTATTTTTTAAAATATTTTATTTTTATTTTATGTGTATTGCCTGCATGTAGGTAAGTGCACCCATGTTGTGCAACGAATACCCGTGGAGGACGGAAGAGGCTGTCGGATCCCCTGGAACTGGAGTTACGGACAGTTGTTAGCTGCCATGTGGGTGCTGGGGTTCAAACCCGGGTCTTATGCAAGAACAGTGTTCTTAACCACTGAGCCATCTCTCCAGCCCCCACCATTTATTTATTTATTTATTTATTTACTATTTAGGGTTTTTGAGACAGGGTCTCCCTATAGCCCTACCTGGCCTAGAACTTGCTATATAAACCAGGCTGGCTGATCTCAGAGATCCAACTGCCTCTCCCGAGTGCGAGGAATAAAGGTGTGGACCACCACGCCTGTCACCACACGTTTTAAAATAGTTCACTTTCGTTATTCATCTCTGTATCTGTGTACATGTATACACACGTACGTGTTTGTGTGCCTGTGGAGACTAGAAGAGTGTGTTGAATTCCTTGCAGCTGGAGTTATTGTCTTTTGTGAGGCACCCTATACTGGTGCTAGGATCCAAATTCTGGATCTCAGAATAAAGCAGCAAGTGCTCTTTACAGCTGAGCCATTTCTACAGCCCCCCATTTTCTCAGTTGCTGTCAGAACTACCTGTACCCCATTGTTATTATTATTGACTTAGTTCTGGGGATTGAACCCAGTACCTCCCACATGGCTCTAGCTCTACTACTGCCCTGTCTGCAGCCCTACTCCAATTATTTATGTTCCACATAGCTATCAAGCATCTCTTCTTCCCTGAGGGCGGGAGAGATGGATCAGTGGTTAAAACCCCAGGCTGGGCCCAGGTTTGGTTTCCAGAACACGCTAAGACCGTCCCTAATTCCAGCTTCAGGGCATCTTTTCTGGCATCCCATGATAATGCACAGCATGGGTGCAATTACATGAAGGCAAAACACTCATACACATAAAATATTTTTTTTTAAAAAAAGAATCTCCTAGGGCTGAAGAGATAGTTCAGCACTTAAGAACACTGGCTTCTCTTGCAGAGGACCTTGGTTCGGTTCTCAACCCACAAAGCAGCTAACAACCGTATGCAACTCCAGTTCCACGGGAATCCGATGCCTTCTTCTGACCTCCTTGGGAATTGCACGACACAGGTGTACTTACATACATGCAGGTAATATACACAAAAATAAATATAATAAAATATTACAAATAAAAGAAGAATCTCAGGGGGCTGGAGATGGCTCAGTGGTTAAGAGCACTGACTGCTCTTGCAGAGGACCCAGGTTCGATTCCAAGCACCCACATGGTGGCTAACAATCATCTGGAACTCCAGTTCCAGGGAATCCAATGCCTTCTTCTGACCTCTGAGGACACTGCATGACACAGGTGCACTTACATAC